AGAATATAAATGACACTACAGGTTTTGGTGCACAGATGACTGCGCAGTAATGCTCACTTGCGGTGAAATCAATATATGAGTAATGTCGAGGTTAGGCGAAGAATATTAGATAACGAAGGCATATCAACAGATGATGTTGCGACTCTTCACTGACTGAGGTATCTGCGAATGACTGACTGACAGAATCAACATAGAACCTCGCATACAGGTGCATAAGCTTAAGTTGTCACACTTTACAGAAGTACACAAACAACGATTGGATGCAAAAGGAGTGTTATCAATGAAGAATGAACAGCGACAGAACAATGTGAAACTAAAGATTAGTGCGAATATTTAAGCTTTAGAAGACGTCAAGAAGTGAACACATCTGCACTATGGTGACTGATTCCCAGCCATGTCAAGATCATCACGATATGACTATGGACGTTAAATTATGTCCGAAACGTGATCCAGTAAACAATACTGTTCCATTGTGTGATAAATTTAATAAGTGGAATTACATTCTACCACAGTGCTTAAATCTCATTTTAATATTATTGCAATAGTAAGAGACTTCATCGACTGGTGCCAAGGCTTCATCTGGCCACCCTCTTCAAACTTAACCGAACTCCCCCCAGCATGGCACGTCGAGGTAGGCGGTGGCTCGGCATGGCCAATACATGTTCAAGATATCTCAACCGACTAAGGTTCACAACCTCAGCAATCGACTTGCCTTCATTGCCTGGCCTTGATATCACTCATACGGTGATTCCACCAAAGGCGAGCAATGCTACTAAGATATCTGTGATCAAAACCCTGTAATCGCTTCATTTCAACGGTCACTTCTCATAGCCGTACAATAGGACAGAACGCACTGCCGTGCAATATATAGTCGGATATCTCTCCACTTGACTGCAGAGATAACGCAAGTTAAGAAATACCAAACAGACCTGCATCCAAGCCGAGAATTCTCCAGCAACCAGCCAGTTAGCGCTGGTGCAAGTCCCCAAGTAAGTGAAGTGGTTGACACATCCCACCACTTCACTCCCTATGATTAAACTGAGTCGTTGCAGTCCGGTCCTGGGGCATCATCCCACATTTGACACGTGCCAGCGAAACACAAGCCAAACATACCCAGACTTCTGCTCAACACGTTCACAAGACCCTGCACTCCATCAGCATTTTCACCCAGCAGGACAATATTGACTGCACACTGCAAGTCAACCAGATGGCCCCAAGGGAGTAGACTAATCCCTGAGGAGTTACAAGTACATAAGCTGATGTCCATTAGCTCATCTACAACGAAATCAAATAGGAACGGTGACAATGCACATCCCTACCGGACACCACTAGTTGTCGTCAATTCACATGACAACTTTCCTTAAGCCCTGACATGGATGTGAGTTCGAGTGGACAGCTTTGATTAGTTTCATATATTTGCTGAGTACTCCCTTCATAGTCAGATACCGCCACAACACCTCACATTCATCCAGGTCTGAAACTTGCCTGGTTTTCCCCAGTTTGCAGTTGTCGAGTTCCAGTTAGACGTCGAATAACTATGGACTTAGGACCTTCGACACAATATTAGTCAAACAAAATCCCCTCTGGTTGTCACAAGAAGACATTCCCTTATAGACGGGACGATCAATGAGGTACGCCAGTTTGACAAGACTACCTCTGATTCCCGTACACTACCTAGTACTTCCGTCACTTCAATTAGTAATTCCCGACCACCATCCTTGAAAACTTCAGATGGCAAACTGTAAGGTCCTGCTGCTTTCCATCCTATCAGGTTTGACACAGCTTTCTGAACTTTAAAGAGAGCTGAAATCAACGTTCTATTTAGGTTCAGGTTGGATGTTGGGCAACTGAAGGCTTGGTGTGTGCAGTTGAACTGTGCTTCAGTGTTCTGAACAGCGTTCTAGCCACCTGTCCTGAAAGGTTATCCACGTTCTGTCCTTTCCGGTGACGGATTCACTAACCACTGTCTTCTTCCTGCCGGTATCTATAACAAGCCTAAATAGTTGACAACTGTTACCCAACCCTGATCCCTTTTCTGTCTCTCTCGCCTTCAACCACCACCTACCTAGATGTGCGACGCTAAAACAGAAGGGTCCTTGGAGTAAGGAAAATCAATGGTCCGAAACCTTAGGTGACAATGGTGAAAATAGGTCACAATGGCGCAGATGTATTCACTCTCTAAGGTCTTTTGAAGTTCAAAGTCTTACCAGCGTTTTTGCTGAATTCTTCCTCTAACACAATTCTCAACTTTATATTACTCTTTTTCAGTCTTCTTATTTTTGGTATCTAATGTGGGAAATTGAACCAATACATTTCTGTGCGTGGTTGACGTTGTGTTCTGGACGTGATAAAACTCCAGGAGCTCGACCACCGCTTCGTGAAAAGCATTGACCTATCTTGTGGAACCTCCTCGTTATAGAGGTGTTCTAGTCTTAGGTTGAGTAGATAAGTCAGTTGATGGAGTTGTGAACAGGTATCCGGAACATTAGTTAGGTATGTCTACTTCAGCATTCACTTCGAGACACTCTGTTAACTGAATTAGACTTGGGCTGGAAAAGTGTTGAGCGTGGCTAGACTAAAAGGTGGCATCAGTCCGTGTTAATGGGACAACCGAAATCTGTTGCCACGTAATCGATTTCAGCGAAACACATGTATCCACCCATTTAGTAATGTCATATTGCATTACTCACTCTTGACGTATTCTTCATCTCTTAAGGTCTTTGACGATATTTCACGTCATCATTAATCCGTCTCTCAACTCATTACCTTAAATCTTGATGCAATGATTTGAGTTGTGGCAACCTGGACCATTCAGCTGCAATGACAGTCAATTCCTGTGCCAACACTGGTCGGATAACACAAGTGAGAAACAGAAAAACACCCTACATTTTTTCGGCGTCATCGTTTAACAAGACTACGTCATGTGAATGCTGCAAGTTAGTAACGTGTCATCTGGAAAGCAAATCAATCAAAGAGGCGTTGGAGATACTCAGGGTTATACCAGTCACCACAACTACAAAACCTCTGGTAGCTGGGTAAGTTGGAGTAGAGAAAGAGCTCCGAATAGCACTATGTACTTTCTCCGTACCCCTTCACAGTCTGACACTGCGACACCTCTCGTTGTACGGAGGTTTCGAAATATGGTGTGCACTGGATGCTGAAAAACATAAGTGTATCACGATACGCAGTTCCTTTAGTACTGGGTCTCTTTGACACAGAACGTTCACCAGAAGTGGACATGCAAATGTGTGTTTGACGTTGAATAGAGCGTAAAACGTCCGCATCAAGATAATCGTGTATGATATTATGGGAGTCAAATAACTATTGAGGAACTATACGAAACACCATTCAACTGCCCGAAATACAGGCAAGTGAATGAGAAAAACAAAAATAGCTACGAAGCAGTGGTAATTTCGGGTTCGCTTCATGAATGCACGCAAACCCATAAGAGAGTCCACTCGGTATTCACTAAAATCCCGTGCAATAAAACAATGCATAGTGAGAAAATGAGAAAAGATGCTAGTGAAAATCATATTAAAAGTCAGTTGACTGGTTGGTAGTAGTTAGTATTCAGACAAACACAGATGTGTGAAAATATTATTAATGCGTATACATATGATTTGAAAACGGGATAGATAAGAGGAAGAAAAATCACAAGTATTTTGTTTTGCTTTTCAAGAGAAGAAACAAAAGCATCCGCAAATAAAATATGCAACTTGTGTTTTATTGGTGTGTACGTAAACCATAATTTCGTAAGCCACATAATTTTCTTAAACGGAGATCTGTCAAGGTAATGCTTTTTAAAAATCCCCTCCGTCTGTTGTGCTTCCGTCCTTCATTGCTTTCATGTCTCTTGCTCATCACCTGTTTCCTTTACACAGAAGTGTTCACCTTCGTTTTATATCTGAGTCACGCTCTTCTTTTTCATATTTATTAGCATCATCATCGTCTCCACTAATAATAGTAATAATCATGACAAAACTAGTCCAACTGAGCAGATCGGTACGCCTTATTCCGCTAGTTCTTATACTCCTTGCATATAAACTGTTCAAAACGTGTCTCAGCAGTATGCTGCAGTTAATCTCCAACAGCATACTGTTGAGACACGTTTTGAACAGTTTATATGCAAGGAGTATAAGAACTAGCGGAATAAGGCGTACCGATCTGCTCAGTTGGACTAGTTTTGTCATGATTATTACTATTATTAGTGGAGACGATGATGATGCTAATAAATATGAAAAAGAAGAGCGTGACTCAGATATAAAACGAAGGTGAACACTTCTGTGTAAAGGAAACAGGTGATGAGCAAGAGACATGAAAGCAATGAAGGACGGAAGCACAACAGACGGAGGGGATTTTTAAAAAGCATTACCTTGACAGATCTCCGTTTAAGAAAATTATGTGGCTTACGAAATTATGGTTTACGTACACACCAATAAAACACAAGTTGCATATTTTATTTGCGGATGCTTTTGTTTCTTCTCTTGAAAAGCAAAACAAAATACTTGTGATTTTTCTTCCTCTTATCTATCCCGTTTTCAAATCATATGTATACGCATTAATAATATTTTCACACATCTGTGTTTGTCTGAATACTAACTACTACCAACCAGTCAACTGACTTTTAATATAATTCACATACACAGCAATAAAACATAAGTTACATATATTAGTTCGTCCACAGTTAATTACAATGCAAATATATGCACATTTCCATTTTGTGTGCGTGTTTGAAAGAATGGGAAAGCGAGTAAATCAAGGCTGAGATTCAAGAAGTTTGAGGAGTTATAAGAAAGCGTATAGTTTGCTCCTTAAAAATATCAACCGGATAAAATGATATTCATCATAAAATAGTTAGTCAAATGAATAACGTGAGAGCATCCACAAACAAGAAATTATTTTTGACGGCGAACCAATTAATTATACAGATAACAAGCTCAGGAGAAACGACCACCATTCAACGAACGAAAGCAAGTATTCATAGGCTAAATAAATGAAATTTACACCAATTCACAAGAGCTGCGTTTCTTCTTTCGCTTTGGCGGCAGGAGTACTGCTCGAATAGCCTCATCGAAAACATTCTTCAATCCAGCCTGAGTTAAGGCAGAGCATTCCAAGTATTTAACAGCCTTTATTTCCTTTGCCATGATCAACCCCTAGATATTAAAATAAAACATGGGGGGAGGGGTAGTTAAATTTTATTTAACAAACTGGATGTTGCTTTTTTGGCACGGTGAAAAGTACTCATACACAACAAGATAAATGGAGTGTTCGTTTGACAACTGTACATAAAAAACGATTACTTTTCGTCTGAATGGAAATCTGTTTATTAACATGACAATGATTAAGAAGAAACATAGCTGGACAAAAAATTGCACCACTACGATTATAACCTGTAGTTTTGATTGAAATCAACTCGATAGACTTCAGTTGTGTCGTATATCATTCAGGTAGACATAATTAATTAACAAAACATTCACTACTACAATGTGGTTACACAACTACCATCATCTTAAAAAATGCCTCGGATTAGTCAGATTTCGATGAACGACAATCGTCTAATATGATTCGGCGCTATCACGATTAAGACAGAAAACTGGAAAGTAGTAAAGGGGTTTTAAGAACTGAATCTAGTAGCTGACGTTTTTACGGGAAACCACTTATGGCAAATCATTAGGCTACAAACCATGTCATAACACTTCTACAGCTAGTCATAAAATGAGAGATATCAAATGATACCGCAACTAGATTTCAAACTAAATTTCTTCATAACATGATCAATAACTAGAACCGGTTCTGGCTTACGAAATTAATCATCACTTATCCTACCTTGTCAATTAAGCAGTTTTGAAGAAATCGATAGACGAGAAAAATTTAGTAAAAAACAGGTGGGACGGTCAATTTGCAAATGATTTACAAATTGCACCGTCTACATTGACACTTGACACAGCTCAACAGTTTTTCAACTGCCCAACTGTTGTGTCAACAGGATTTTCGTTGGAAACCACCTGTTAGCCAGGATCACAAGATGTGATCTCTGACACGAAAGTGTCATGAACTAGCGAAATATAATACCGAACAACTTGAGAGGTTAGAAACCATTCACGCTGATCTGAAGCAATTCCGTCCAGTGAGCTAAACCTGTCCGGGTACACCTCTGATGAGCTCGGTCCCAGATGAGCGAAAGGCCGTCTGCCGTTTAGATCACTTGGATCTGGCTGGCAAAATCTACAGATCAATCCGAGTGGTTCTCAACTACTCAAGTTGTTCAATAATACATTTCACTAGGCAGATGATTTACTAGTCTGATTTTCATCTTGAGAGCTCCTAGAAAATTACTCACATCTCAATTCTGAAAATACAAATCGATATTTCACTCAGTGTCACAATAAGAGTTTATATTATATCATCTGAGACAGAAAACTACCAAACATTTTTTTGAGAATCCTACTCTGGAGGTCATCAGCTTCAAATCAATAGTGAGTGTGGGTTTTATCATCAATATACAAGGGACTGTAATGTCATGAAGCAGAGGAACAGTATACAAGTAGTTTGAGAACGCATGTGCGCCCCAATGCACACAGGAAGATCATAATTCAACTGAGTTTTCGGAAAGTATTTTAGTGTTACTCCCAAGGTAACACCTCAGATTTAGTACAGAAACAGACAATGCTTGGAGCATAAATCCGGGTATATTTGACATGCACTTTGTACCGGTAAAATGTTAAATGATGCTTTAAGTGTGGTTTGCATTAACCTGAAGAAGCCGATTGCTGACGAAATTTCGGCTTGGATACAAAAGCCCTGTTAGGGGGTTCATTAAATTCTTTGATCGTTGGAGACGATGAGATATTACATTATATACTAAAGGATGATTATACTGCACTGTCTTCTCGTTATGCGGATATGAGACGCCTCTGGAAGTTGATGTGAAGTGGCTACATGATTTCGAAAATGTCTCCATAGCACCGCACAGGACCCAAGTGTGATTACTCACTTGGCTCACCTAGCCAATGTGACGAATATGAGAAATTCACTTACGAGTCTCCCGATATTCAACGACTAGTTTACCTGGACTAACTACTGTAGGTATTGCATATATGATAAAGCAGAAAGCTCACTTCTCAAATGGATATCAGACGATGACTACCTACCTGGGTACTGTGAGAACTAAAAATGATGGTGACAATCATCAATGTCTGCTTTGCTTTCTCCACCTACGAGCCTACAGACTGCAGTTCGGATGATGCAAAGAATTAGTTTTGTCAACAGTTTTGAAATTTGCCTTATAAAGCAAAAAACTCAGACGTAGTCATAGATGAAGAGGACTTCAACGCCCATGTAGGGAATTCCAGTCAATCAGAGAGGCGTCTTCATGACTACTGTATTCCGCACTAACAGAACGAGAGTGGTGATTATCTTTTACAATTCCTCAACAATCACTAGTTCTTAAACAGCACTAACTTCAAGCATGAGGAAAGACGTTTTTTCCCTAGGTGTCCGCTGATGTCAAGCTAATGTTGGATACATATCACATAGCCACTAGGCATAAGTGGAGATTTGTCAGTTTTTCGGAGTACGTGCTTGGACTTGAACCACTTTTTGTTACGAGCATGTGCATTTTGACCTAGTGCAGGGAAGAAAATAGTAATAGCTCTGTATGCTCAATTATATAAGGAGATATCAGGTGTGTATTTAAAGAAAAGATAACTAAGCACTGAACCAAACATGGTAGCAACTCTCATTCAGATGAGGATTGACATGACAATTAGTCTGCTATAGTAGAAACAACTACAAAAATCGTAAGCTACCACCTAAATTTAGTAAACACTTGTGAATTTCTGCAGCCTCATTCGAAATGATTGACGACAGATTCGTTCCAGCCGGCTCTAATCGCGAAGAGCGAAAACAGAGTACACGTAGGTTGACCAAGTCTTCGTAATGATAACGGGACATAACACGACAGAATGGTCTGCAGCGCAGTATGCTCGTCCTTTAATAGACAGTCGGATAAATCGCCAATCAGGATCATAGACGACACACGTCGGCAAATGCTAAACGAGCTTCCTGTGTCCGAGTCGAGATTTCTTCAGCAACCACCCCGTTCACGTTGACGCAACACCCCAAGTAAGTGAAATGATCAACCGATTCCACCAGGACTTTCTATCATTAAACTAGCGGTAATAGACTAGTCCTGAAGCGTCATCTTACATTTGACAGATGGGAAACATATGCCAACCATACTCAGATTTTTGTTCAAGAAGTTCAGAAGAGTCTGCATTTTGTCAGCGTCTTTGCATAACGTGACCATGTCTGTCTGCACCAAGGCAACTAGATGCAATCCAGAGAGTGGATCAATCCCCGTGAAGTCAGAGTTACCTAAGGTTATGTCTATTGATATATTAATAACGAAACCAAACACGAGCGGTGGACATCGCCAGTTCTCGTTAATTTAGATAGATGATGAAAAAAAGCGGAGAAGACAACGGCATTAGGTAGCGTTCAACAGCCATTTACACTTGAGTGGAAGACTCCGGAGGACAGTTTAACTGTCCTACAGTCATGCTTCAACTACTCAAAATCCAACGTGAAGTCAAAAGACATTGTAAATATAGGTCCTTTCAACTCACCAACGTTGAGAAGACCGATCCAATCCTGAAATAAAGCAAGGCAGGAGGAACTTTCGATTTGCCACCAGAAAGTCCTAGGCATGGAGGTAGAAAATTACCTAGTAGAGTAACTGATTTATTAAAGAGTGAGAATCACAGGCGGTCTCAGTAGATTGATCTCTACCGTTGATCGCTCCAATTTATAAGGAAAGAAACAAGTCTTCCTATGACAATCATGCGCGAATCATTCTGATTAACATCGAGTTCAAGATCTTAGGATGTAAGATTCATAGTCATCTGATACCTAGCTGGAGCTCACGACAACAAACTCGAGAAACCTAGACAGTTCTCAAACGTAGATGGGAGTGAATCGATCAGATCATCCTTCGACAAGTTTCGAGATGTAGTCATACTTAGCAACACAGGACATTTGCCAAGTTTTCTGACCCAAAGTCGGTATTCGATCTCGCCAACCAAGAGGTACTCTGTGTTACTGCCTGACTGTAAAGAGAGTACCGAACAAGTAGATCATGTCAAACAGCTCTCTGCTGGAACCCATGCAGTTGATTAAGGTTTCCAAGACAAGTGTCATATAAAGTAATGATAGCCACTGGTGTCCACCAAAGATGTCCACTGTAATCATTCTCATTTAACATTTTTATAAGTGCTGACTAGTATGACCCCATGTATGTCCAACGACTCTAGGATAGACTTACTCTACAGATAGCACCTGACTGACTTGAAGTATTCGAAGAACGTAGCCCTGCTAGGCGAAGACGCCGACAAAATAGTCTTTCGAAAACTATGAGAAAATATAGAAGTTTTGCTATGCGTTACGCACCTGTCATATGTAATATGACGCTTTAGAATAGGTCTGCACTGATCCGTAATATAAGGGTAGGGAGTGAAGTGGTGGAATACGTTGACCACTTAACACACTTGGGTATTAGCGTCGGGAATGAACTGATTGAAAATGAAACGTTAGGATGAAAAAGGACCGTTTGGAGTTTTTCAACTTCGTCATCGCTGGTGCCGATGAGATATCCAACTGTCTACCAGTCAGAGAACAAATATGCTGCACATTGATTTGCTGTCCTACTGTACGGGTGAGACATGATCGTTGGAAGTAGAAATTAGCAGGTTATGACTTTTTGACTACTTAACACTGCTCACGTGTAGCGAATTCATCGTGGGAACAATGTCGAGTTTAAATGAAGAGTATTGGGCAAAGAAGAAAAGTCAGTTAGTGAGGTTGTGAACTTTGACCGACTGAGATGTCTTGAACATTTGTTGCGCATGCTACGTCATCGCCCACCGCGATGCGTGATGCTAACCGAGGTGCGACTGGTTTGAAAGAGGCTCAAGATAGGCACATCAAGATATGGTACTATTTCATGAAGTCTCTATCCGTAGGTCCAAGCAATGTAGACTATCAGATGTGGGGCCTCGGGATGATGAGAATCAACTGTTGGAGAAAATTGATGATATGGTTTAAAGTTAATCAAAATGACGCACATACTTATGCTATTTTTCACCTTCGGAATCGT